TCATCTCAGGTCACTTTCCAGTTCACCAGATCATCCAGTCAGATTGATTCAAAGTTTTCTATCTAAGGAAAACCAGCTGATTGCATCGACTCATTGACTCTTCAGCAATCCCTCACACTAAGCATGCTTGTAGCGACAGTGGAGAGGAAAAACTCCCTTTGAACAGGAAGAAACCTCCAGCAGAACCAGGCTCATTGTGAGCGGCCATCTGCCTTTCAGTGAAGACCCTTTGTTAAGTTCAGTTTAGACATATGAGGATTAAAGCAACTTTTGACCAAAATATTAGCTTAATTTGAGAAATATTTAAAAACATGTCAGGTTAATAATCAGTACTTGGTTGGTACCACTGCTCCATGCAGGCTGCTGTCCTCTGAAATACCAGCGGGTCAGATTATCTCTGAATGAGTACACCAAAGCTAACTCAGCTAAACGTATCACCCAACCAAAGATAAGACCCTCACCTAATCAGACATATTTCTAGTTCTCGTCGGATATAATTTAGAGGGAGGATGGTTTCTCTGGTCTTTCCCAGTAACACCATGACTCTCAATCTGCTGGTCCAAGTGGTCGGCTAGCAGATTCCAGTGAGACAAGTCTATTTAGCTTCAGTGCAGTGCTGCCAGGGGCCTGTAGGGGGAGCTAAAGCCAAATCCGGTCAGGTTTGGCGCCCCCTAGTGACTTAAAGTAACAGTGTTGCTTTAAAATTTGGTTAGGGTTAGAGACATACAGGTAAATCTCAGTAAACTAGAATAACCTCCAAGAAAGTATTATGCCTTTTACTAAGCTCACTTCTTTTTTTTTAAATTAAAATAAATTAAAAAAATGTAATATTCTAATCTTTTTCTCTATTTTAGGAAACTTTATTTACAGGTTTGGAAGAACAATATAACTTAGTCCCATAAAAAAAAAAAAGAATTTTAAATGTTTGTCTTTTTAATGGCTGTAAGAATAAAAAAAGAAAAGAAAAAAAAAGATATCCTGAATTCCCCCATTGAGGGACGATTAAGGATATTTTTATTCTATTAACAAAAATAAAGGCTTGTAAACATTAATCTGTGTCGCTCAACTTTAAAACATGATTCACTTCATCAATGAGTTCCTGAACTTTCTCTTTTATTCAGATTTGGCCTGAACCGACTATAGTTATGGTTCGGAATGAATGCATTTGATAGATGAAAAGAAAATCCTAGTATGATTGCAAGCAAAGGTGTAGCTAAACATTTTTATAAGCAATAACCAATTAACACTGAGGGGTGGCTGAAAGTGGATCGGCGCCAGAACCTCTATACTGTTGCAACAGGAAAATTAACGAGCACAACATCCATATTTTCTAAATAAAGACAAACTATACTTTCCTAAATCCTTTGCTAACAAGTAGATGCATATATTTAAACATTCATGCTTTCTAGATAAAAGGTATTGTGGATAAAATTCTTTCAGGTGTGACTTCTGGAGCGAACATCTTTTCCATTGTCATTACTTACCTACTTTTATCAATAATTATTCTGCATAAATTTTATATTTACAAGTACTAATATCTACATACATTGATTATTTATTACGTTTTTATTCAAATAGTTATTTATCTCTGATTTCAGTCTGATTGACACTAGAGAGTATTACTGCTTCCATCATCTGTATTAGAGGGGGGGAAATGGTAGGGGTGGCCAATGATTGCCTAAAGGTGGCCATGGCCCCCCATCTAGCTCCGCCCCTGGTTGTAAATACAAACATTAGAGGTCGAGTAAAAACTAGAAATGAATTTGGAAATCAGCTGGAGATGAAGATGTTAGATGTGTTTTCATCTGGTTTCCTAATTTATGGCTCACCACCATTGTTACAAACTTTACTGCTAAATCTGTGATTTTCAGACTCATCTGGAAGCTTTTTTAAACCATTAACTACTGATTGAATTCAGTTTAGTTTATTTATAAAGCTCTGATTCACTACAGCGGTCTGAGACGGCTGTTTACAGAAATGATTCAATCAGACGACGACTTTGCAGGATTTATAAACGACAACAGCCTGTTTTCAATCACTGAACACATCCTAGATTTTCATAAGGACTTTTATTGCTTTTATGTTTTCTTTGAATAGTCCTGCTGAATTTACATGTGCATTGCAAATAAAATCACCCTGCTCATTCCAAAAAGTTAAAAAAAATGATCCACTGGACTTTGTTTCCAAGTTTCCCATCCAGGAAGCTTTTTCCAATTAAAAATGTCAGGAATAGAGAATCTTCATCAGCAAGTCCCGATCTTCCTTGAAGCCATAAAGACGAGTCTTGGTAACAATTCCCGCTGTATTAACTCCTAGAGTAAAGTTTTGCTTTAGCTGGTCAGTGACAGGAAGCGGCTAGCCGGAAGTCTCACAAATATCCGTCACTTAAAGGTATAGAGGAGAATTTTGTTTTCTGAATGGATCATCTAGATAAGTGGTCCTCCTAACTGTCAACCATTCTGGTGATATGTTTACGTAAAGCCGTCCTATGGGCTCGTCCCGTTAGCTATCGTTTTCTGTGCATGTGCAATTTTAAGTGTCTATCTTCGGTTTCAGACAGTCATTGAAGCTCACGGCCCCTAGAATGGGAGGCAGATCTTTTAATTCTCAGGCTCCTCTCCTGTGGAACCAACTACCAGTTTTAGTCCGTGAGGCAGACACCCTGTCTACTTTTAAGGCTAGGCTTAAAACTTTCCTTTTTGATAAAGCTTCTAGTTAGAGTGGCTCAGGTTATCCTGAGCTATCTCTATAGTTCTGCTGCTATAGGCTTAGACTGCTGCAGAATCTGTTAGTTCAATCTCTAACGTTCTGCTCTCTCTGCTTTTTCTCATAGTAGCTTCATCTGGTCTGTTCCTGTTTGGCTGTGACTCCATCCTGGAGAGAAATATCAGCTGTGCTGCTGCCATCAACACCTTTGTTTCTAGATGTTGGAGCTTGGCCTGTTTTCCAGTGTAGTCCTGTTTCTCTGACTGTGACTAACTGGATGTGCTCTCTTCATCCTCTGACATGGGAGCTGGCTCGGAGCTCGTCTGCCTGGCTGTGTGTTTCCTGGACGGGGCCGCCTGTGGAGCTGGTTGACAGTTGCCTTTTGTATCTACAGGTGCTGGTCATAAAATTAGAATATCATGAAAAAGTAGATTGATTTCAGTAATTCCATTTAAAAAGTGAAACTTGTATATTATATTCATACATTACATACAAACTCATATATTTCAGATGTTTATTTTGTTTAATTTTGATGATTACAAATGACAACAAATGAAAATCTCAAATTCATCATATCAGAAAATTAGAATATTGTGAAAAGGTTCAAAATTGATGGCCCCTGGTGCCACACTCTAATCAGCTAATTAACTCAAACCACCTGCAAAAGCCTTTAAATGGTCTTTCAGTCTAGTTCTATAGGCTACACAATCATGGGGAAGACTGCTGACTTGACAGTTGTCCAAAAGACGACCATCGACACCTTGCACAAGGAGGGCAAGACACAAAAGGTCATCGCTAAAGAGGCTGGCTGTTCACAGAGCTCAGTGTCCAAGCACATTAATAGAGAGGCGAAGGGAAGGAAAAGATGTGGTCGAAAAAAGTGTACAAGCAAGAGAGATAACCGCACCCTGGAGAGGATTGTGAAACAAAACCCCTTCAAAAATGTGGGGGAGATTCACAAAGAGTGGACTGCAGCTGGAGTGAGTGCTTCAAGAACCACCACACACAGACGTATGAAAGACATGGGTTTCTGCTGTCGCATTCCTTGTGTCAAGCCACTCTTGAACCACAGACAGCGTCAGAAGCGTCTTGCCTGGGCTAAAGAGAAACAGGACTGGACTGCTGGTGAGTGGTCCAAAGTCATGTTCTCTGATGAAAGTAAATTTTGCATTTCCTTTGGAAATCAAGGTCCCAGAGTCTGGAGGAAAAGAAGAGAGGCACTTCATCCACGTTGCTTGAAGTCCAGTGTAAAGTTTCCACAGTCAGTGATGGTTTGGGGTGCCATGTCATCTGCTGGTGTTGGTCCATTGTGTTTTCTGAGGTCCAGGGTCAACGCAGCCACATACCAGGAAGTTTTAGAGCACTTCATGCTTCCTGCAGCTGACCAACTTTTTGGAGATGCAGATTTCATTTTCCAACAGGACTTGGCACCTGCACACAGTGCCAAAGCTACCAGTACCTGGTTGAAGGACCATGGTATCCCTGTTCTTAATTGGCCAGCAAACTCTCCTGACCTTAACCCCATAGAAAATCTATGGGGTATTGTGAAGAAGAAGATGCAATACACCAGACCCAACAATTCAGAAGAGCTAAAAGCCACTATTAGAGCAACCTGGGCTATCATAACACCTGAGCAGTGCCACAGACTGATCGACTCCATGCCACGCCGCATTGCTGCAGTAATACAGGCCAAAGGAGGCCCAACTAAATACTGAGGGCTGTACATGCTCATACTTTTCATGTTCATACTTTTCAGTTGGCCAACATTTCTATAAATCCTTTGTTTTTATTGGTCTTCAGTAATATTCTAATTTTCTGATATGATGAATTTGAGATTTTCATTTGTTTTCATTTGTAATCATCAAAATTAAACAAAATAAACATCTGAAATATATGAGTTTGTATGTAATGTATGAATATAATATACAAGTTTCACTTTTTAAATGGAATTACTGAAATCAATCTACTTTTTCATGATATTCTAATTTTATGACCAGCACCTGTATGCTTCTTTTTCTATGTCTGCTTCTGTCTCCTTGAACCCCAGTGGGCCTCAGCAGATGGCCGCTCACACTGAGCCTGGTTCTGCTGGAGGTTTCTTCCTGTTCAAAGGGAGTTTTTCCTCTCCACTGCCGCTACAAGCATGCTTAGTGTGAGGGATTGCTGAAGAGTCAACTTCAGCAACAGTAAAGAAAGTGACTTTCTTTACTGTTCGAATGTGTTGCTGATGATGCTGCGTTCCTCCTCCAGGGTTAAAGTACTTTATTACTATGGTTTCCATTTGATGACAAGAAAACATTTTCAAATATTTATTTTAGATCAGAACAACAAATAACTTATGTGCAAATTGCAAAAAGAACTTCAGTCTAAAGAAAGGATTGACAGAGGACAGGAAACGGTCGAGGAATAAGACGAGCGCCTTGAAGAGGTTCAGACTCAGCGGCGTTTATGTCTCACTGAAGCGTTCTGCTGCCTCCACCTTAAAAACATGGCTGACAGGGTCCAGGTTCTGAGGCTGCGCGCCGAGCTCCATCCCAGACAGCAGCCCCATCCCATCGCTAACGTCCCGCTGAAACTCCCCCTCCTCCAGCTTCACCTGCCCTGCCGGGACAAAGCTTTCCACTTCGTCGAATCCGAACCCGTAGCCGTCCTCCGGGTCCGCCGCTGTGGCTGCGCCGGCGCCGGCGTTGTTCCCGGAGGAGGCGAGCCTCTGGCAGCGGGCCTGGTGCCTCAGGAAGCTGTCCCTCCAGATCACCTTCTTCCCACACAGGCTGCACTCGTACGGCCGCAGCCCCCCGTGGGTTTTCAGGTGCTTCGTCAGATGATGCTTCATCTTGAAGGATTTCGTACAAACCGGACATCCGAAGGGACGCAGGTTAAGGTGCTGCATCTTCACGTGACGGTCACGCATGCTCTTCAGGGTGTAGGCCTTCCCACAGTGGCAGAAGTGGACCTTCCCCGTGTAGGCGGCGCCAGAGACGGACACCGAGGAGGACGAAGATGGCGTCGGAGGTGAAGATGGAGGAGGACATGCAGCAGAGGAGGAGCTGGGAGTCAGAGAACCGCCCTGACCTCCGCTGGTGGAGGGCCAGTTCATGTCTGAGGCCCCGAGGCTGAAGTCAGGGGACAGCAGGGGCCTCTGGGAGACCTGACCCGTCCTGTCCTCAACCTCATCATACGTGTCTCTGCCATAGGAGCTGAAACAGTCCAAGTCCACCTCCTCATCCTCATCCTCGCCGCCCTGCCGCCTGTGCTCCTGCTGAGACCAGGAGCCGCTCTGGAACTGGAGCCTGCCTGGGGCCGGACATGATGGCCCCGGGACGCCGGCGTCGGGTCCACAAACATCAGGAATGTCCTTCATCACCTCCACGCTCTGCCTCCCTGCACGGCGGCCGGCGTCAGCGCCGTCGTCTGAAAGGCGTAGATCTGTTGGAAAAACACAGGAAAAGCTTCTAAATTTCAATCCTGACCACGAGGAGAAAAACCTTCTCACAGGTGCGTGAAGAACAAGTAGCCAGAATCCCGACGGAGCGGAGAGCGAGAAAACAAGATGGAGGTTCTGAGGTTCTTACCCATCTGGCTGAAGCCTTCCTTCGTCTCCGCCTCTTCGTCTCCAACGCCTTCATCGGCTTCGGTTTCTCTTCTGACGTTCCTCCTCCTCTCCTGTGTCTCGTCACCCTCTCGGCCCTGCGGCGCTCCACGCTGCTGGAACCGGACCTTCTGCTTGGCGCCCTCCGTAGCAGGAACCCCCCCGTGGTGTCGTCCGGTCTGGCCCAGTCCGTCGGGTTTAGCGGGAGCAGTGATCCATTCCTCCTGGCAGCCGTACCCGGGGAGCCCGTCCAGCTGGGAGTCGGCCGAGTTCTGCTCGGACGGCGGCCGGGGCCGGCTCCACCTCACGGCCTGCTGCGGCCGCCTCCACGTCGCCAGCGGCGGCAAAGCGTCGGGCTTCCTCTCCCGCCGACGGCCCTCCCGCTCCACGTACAGACACTCGGTGCTGCTCGGCGACTGCTGGCGGGACACGGACCCTGGCTGGGCGTCGTCGGCCGAGGCGGCTTCTCCTGACGGACGCGGCCTCTTCAGGATCTCGGTGCATTTGTCCACGATGTGCCACATCTGGAGGAAGCTGGCCACGGTGACGTAGTTGACGATGTCGTCCTGTATGATGCTCAGCTGGCCCGTGTAGGCTGAGCTCAGGACGCTCTCGAAGGCGACCGGGTCCATGACGGAAGGAAGGGACACGGTGGTCACGTTCTTCAGCAGCACCTGTGAGACGATCAGAGGAACTGAGCTGCTTGACGACTGACCTTCAACAAACTGACCGGATATGAAGGAACCCACCTGGTCATGGAAGTAAGGCGAGGACGCGGCGAGCACGCAGCGGTGGGCTCTGAACAGCTGGCCCTGGACCTGGATGGACAGGTCACACAGCCGCCCCTCCTCCCGCTGCCGGTTCAGATTGTCCAACACAGCGGCGCGGACACCCGGGAAACACACCTGGACGGTCAGGGTGGGCGGAGCCACAGAGTCGCAGGTTGGATCCATGATGGCAGAAAAGCTACGTACAAAAACCAAAACAGAAGACAAACGGCGTCCGTCAGGTTCAAACACCTAAAACCTTCATAACTAGGGATCGAATATCGGCCGATTTGGTGGAATTTTTTTAATTGGCCCGATAAAATTTTCCGATAAAAATAGCCGATAAATTAACTAAATTGGTGGTATTTTATTCAGGCAGAGTAGCCCCAAAGCGGGACAAGACCTGTGGATTTTGCGCTCCTTACTATCAGGACCCAGACTTGGCTCCGTTACTGCCTGACTGTAAATCATCAACATGTCTTCACCAGTTTGCAGTTAACACCTTATACAAACCTTATAACGCACCTAAAAAAATCGTCATTGTGGCGAAGCGACATGGAAACTATACGAAACAGCCGTGGCAGCAGCCGGAGGAGCTAAAGCTATAACGACAACAACGACACGGACCGCAGATGTATCCATTCAGAAGGCGTTTGAAAACTAAAAACTTTCCAAGACACTGCGAAAAAGCTAAAGCTATTAACGACAAAGTGATGGAATTTATAGCGCTCGACAACCTTTTTCTGTCGTCGAGAACCCGGGTTTTCGTAACTTAATAGCCCTTTTGGAGCCGCGTTACACCATCCCTAGCCGTCGCTTCTTCTCGGACGTCTCCCCGCCTGCCCTCAATGATGCCGTCGACACATATTTAAGGGATGCACTTTTATTAACTTTATTTAATCTTTTAAGCTAAGGCTGACATGCATATGTGTGTCTGAACATTTTTTAAGAAGTTGGCATTTTTTCTTTCACCTTAGCTGTGGTTTGAGGGTGGACTTTATTTTGAGATTACATTTTTGTAACTCAGGCTGACAATGTAAATGCATATTATTTTATATGTGGTATAAATATTTGACTTCACAAATACCTATGCAGGCATGGATCTGTTCAGTAATTTTCAAGAAATGCTCTTTGTATTGTGAATTGATTTGTTTCTTTTGTTATGTAAAGCAAAAAATAAACATTTGAAGAACCAAAACTTTTTGTTTGCTGTTATAAATAAGCCAGAGCTACTAAATAATCATAATCCAGCATAAGCAGCTGATTATGCAAAAACTATATTCAATATGAACTTATCGGTATCGACCATGAAAAGCAGAAAATGATCGGTTATCGATATCAGTTGAAATTTTTATAATTGTGCATCACTATAGGAGCATTAGTGTCCTTTCCCTTTAAGGAGAACAGACAGAGATGTGTTCAGTTACAAACTCCTACAATCTCTGGTGGATGTCGGAGCATGTGAGCGTAGCGCCGCACAATTCCCGCTCAGGAGGATGTTCGCTCATTCGCTCTGCCGCTCATAGTTGCTCCATGACGCTCCGCTCTGCATTCACCTTCATTTTCCTGGCGAAATCGCTCCACGCTCACTTCATTTTTCAGGAGAAGGCATTTCCTGCCATTTTTCCTTCCTGTAATGATGCCAGAACCCTGAGACACGGCGTTTGATTCAATGATGCGACCGATACATGTGGATTGTCTTATTAAACCGGCTGTTAAATTATCGCACTGTTTCCCAGCTGTAAGCTTAATGCCTCGCTCCATTCATGTTACCCCACGTTTCCTATTTTATTATCCATTTATTTTACTAGACTACATTAAAAAAGGTCACTTTGCATCCCATTGCAAATGAGATAATAGCGTATAATACATGTATGCAGGCTCTAACCACAACGTTCACTTTATGCAAACATAGTTTTTATTAGGGATGCACGATATTGGGATTTTGGCCGATATCCGATATTTTAAAACTCATGTAGCCGATAACCGATATCGATACCGATGTTAAAGCTGGACAAAAATAAGTAGTCATTGAAAATAGCAGTTTTGTTATCCATTTCTGACACTTTGAAAAATAATATACTCAAATATATTTTCATATGCTGATATCAAATAGATTTTTAAAAACGCGGTATCGATCTATTTTACTTTCAAAATCTCGTGAAATTTCATCGTTCTGTTACAAACTCTCGTGATATTTTACAAATTCTTGTGAGATTTTGTTAGTAAAATAGATCGATACCGCGTCAATATATCAACATATAAAAATATGGCAACATTTGGTGAATTTTCGGGGGATTTCGTAGCATAACGATGACATATAGCAATATTTCATTAGTAAAAGAGATTGATATGGTGTTTTTAAATGGCAATATATCAGCGTATGAAGATATTGGGATATTTTAATGGATCAATATTTTTTCCCTCGTCTTTAGAAGTTTTTAAGTCTGTAAAAAAGAAGTTTTGGAGGAAGAAGTAGTATTTATTTAATTTTTTTAGACTTTAGAAACTCAGAAGCTGATCAAATATCGGGTTAAATATCGGTGGGGTGGCCGATGTCCGATATTCAGTTTTAAGGCCGATACCGATAGGGGGCCGATTATATCGTGCATCCCTAGTCTGTATTGTTCAGTATAGTTAGTCAATCTTCCATTAATCAAATAGCATCAGCAGGGATCCCTCAGGGACGTAGAAAGTCGCCTAATTCCATCATTTTCCAGCAATGTGTTCCTGCTCCTCCAAAACATCTCACATCTTTTCAGAGAAGCTGAAAGCTCCACATCTCTGCCTTCATGGACTGTAGCAAAGACATTGGCCTGGTTTCAAGTCATAAATGAATTTAAATAAATTCATGTTTGACTGGCCAAAGGCCAAACCGAATTGAAAACCACTCTGTGCTCCACCATATTTCTTCCGCTCCGCTGCTCCGCTAACATGCTCTGGTGGGTGGGCAATATATGGAATATACTCGATATATCTCCAGTTTCCCCGACGCATAATAATTTAAACTTTCTTTGCCTGGAACAATGGCGGCTATATTAGCTGTGATCAGCAGGTAAAAAGTAGTTAGAATCTATGTTGAAGTGAGAAAGTCCTCCTTCGCAAGCATGTTTGGTTGTGGCCGGTTTGTGGGAAGCATCTTGCTAACCAGTTAGCATCTTAGTGCTAGCAGGTTCCCGATGGGAAATTCCATTGGGACCAAGTGGCACTAAATTGGTGACTTAGAAACGACGCTGTCAAGGAACGCTATGGACAGCGGAAACATGCAAGAGGAGGAGAGTTTAGTGTCGGAGGTCGTGGATGAGTCTCCTCCGTCATCCATTTTTTATTTAGAGGAGGAAAGCGGGGACCAAGATGTTGTGGAAGAGGACGCCAGGGCGGCAGAAGCTTGGTTTGGTGTAGAAGGCTTCCAGCCGTACATGTTTGAGCCCTTGCCTCGCAACGCTGCCAGTTCTGTTAGCTCTACGCCTGCCGAAGACACAGTCGTCCATCCCCGTGAACACTGGGACGCAACTCAATGGGAAAGGAAAGGATTCTGATTTCAACCGTTGCGTATATTAGCTGCAACACATGAATCAAGATGCTATGACCAAAAACATTTGATTGACAGATGACTGTTGATATATGATTGGCCGAATTTAGGTGTTCAGGCTAACGTAGAACTAACTGGCCTGCAGAAGATAACGGAAAAAACATAGATTTTAAGACAGGATTTTTTTTTTTTAAGAAATTTCTAAATTTTGGGACAATATGGTCTGATAAAGAGTACATTTATATACATGTTTAAGCCAGAATGATTTTACATTTAAATATGATTTTCCTACGACTTTGAAGAAAAATAGCCCAAAACAGCATTTGATCTATTCAGTTAAATTCAGTTTATTTATATAGCGCCAATTCACAACATCTGGATGGGTTTAAAGGAACAGAAGGGTGTTTTAATGTCCTAGTCAAAGTCCATATCACAGCCTTAGAAGCTCTGATGGGGGCTTCAGAGAGCTGAGAGGAAATAAACATCTTCTGACCTCCTGGAACTGAGAATATGGAGGAAAGTCAGAGATGTTCTGCTTCTATCAGCAGGTGGATCAGGCCCCCAGCAACAAACTTCTCCCCGAGCTTAGCTCACCTTTGCAGCTAGAAGCTGTCAGAGCTGCAGAAACTCCTAAAATAGATCATAAATACCAGATCTGATGAATATTCGGGTCACATCAGCCCGGTTCCTGCTTCTCTGTGGAAGTTTAATATTCATTTCTCTCTTGTTTACTGTCTGGTTCAGCTTCAGCGATCTTCTTCTTCTTCTTCTTATGGGATTTTATGGCGGTTGGCAGACTTGTGAATTGTGCATTACCGCCACCAACTGATATGGAGTAAAGCAAGAAAACAGGAAACGATTCACCCCCCCAAAAAAAAAAAAAAAAAAAAAAAAAAAAAAAAAAAAAAAAAAAAAAAAAAAAAAAAAAAAAAAAACCTGTGTAACTTAAACCAACATAATACTAAATCACATTTGCCCATATAATTTTAATTTACTCTAGGTCATCTTAACTCTGCCAGTTTCTGATGGTCCCATCGGTCCTCCCATCATACTTCCAACCATCTCCCAGTTCAAATCTTTAATGTCCAGATATTTTTCTGCAGCCTTCACTATTATTTTGATTTTTTCCGTTTTTTTTGTTGTCTGTGCAGTACAATTAATAACTTCTACCATGAAAAGAACAAAATTTGTCTTTTTAACAATAAGTGAGTCTTCATCAATTTTTAGAGATTTCTCTAGAGGTTTGGAATTTGCTGTGTGTTGAACTGTAGGTTTGGGTTTTTCTGACTGAGATGGGATCCTTTTTGCAGCTTCAGCGTAGGTTATTCCGAGCTCAAATTTCATTTTTTTAATTTCCTCAGACCTTTTGCTTGCTTCACAGCCGCGATAGGCAGCAGTATGTTCTCCACCACAATTACAGCATTTTATTTTAGCTTCTTTTCCACATTTTCCGTACTCATGTTCTCCTGCACACCTTCCACACCTCTGTTTCCCTTTACAAACTGCTGCAATGTGACCGAATTTTTGGCATTTGAAACATCTCAATGGTGGAGGATTGTAGATTTTGACATTATAGCTTATGTAACCGATGAATACTTTGCTTGGTAATTGCTCTTCTTCGAATTTAATTAGCACAGATAAACTGTCAGATCTTTCTCCGTTTCTTGTTGTTTTTAACCGTTTTACTTCTTTTACTTTTGCACCTCTTATGTTTTCCAGAATCTCTTTTTCAGAAATTTTTAGAGGAACTCCTCCAATGACTCCCCTGCTGAACTTTTTGTTCTCCATTAAGCTGCACTGAACTCTTATCCCGTCAATTTTGTTGATCCGTATTGCTTTGCCTTGCTGGGCGCTGTCTCTGCAGATAATTAGCAGGTCTCCACTGTACAGAATTCTGGCACCTCTGACTTCTCCGACAAGTTTATTGATGGTTTTTGTTAAGTGAACCGGATTCCAATTTGTAAAAGAGTCTGCCTGATTAACGACTTTGAATATGACTTTGAATTCATTTTGTTGTGCTGTGGAATGTATGGAATGATCATCACTGGATTGTTCTGAACTAGATTCCCCTTGAACTGATCTCTGTTTTTTCCGCTTTTTCTCATTTTTTGATGTTGCTATCTTCCAACCTTCATTGTCACTATTTCCCTCTTCCATCCCACAAGAATCGCTTCCTGTTTCCTCACTACTCACGGCCCAAGACATTTCTCCATAAGCAGCTTCAAAACACGCGCCATGCACCAAACGACCATCCACATGCAATCTTTCCGGCCTTCCACCTCCGACGTTTCTTCTTCGTGGGAAATTTTAGTGCAGCGTTTGCTGTGACTGACCCTCTACCGCCATCCTCTCAGCTTCAGCGATCTGTTCCTACTTCCGGTTTTAAGCTAACTCGTTAGCTCCTAGCTGCTAGCTTCATTTCTTTGGGTGTTTTTACCTGAGACGTGTCCTCTTCTTTATGGCTGCCGGTGATATTTTATTAATCGCTAAACCGCATCGTTATTCTGCAGCTGAGAACTACGGCCGCCTGTTAGGGACTAAATCAGCCCAGCAGGTCCTGCTGAAGCTAACGCTGCGTTCAGTGACACTCGGGAGCAGTTAACGAGTATCTGTTTAATTAAACCTTTATAAAAAGTTTACTAACTGGGATATTATCAAAGTTATTTTCTCAAGACGTTTTTTATATGTGTTTAGGAAAACCTGCCAATCCAGCGCAAACGCGGCTGCATTTTAAACGATTGCTTCACACGGATCACAACAATTCCCACTTTCTGGGAGTAAGTGAATGCACCTCAACGGTCCGGCCTGTCTCCATGGTTCCGGTAGCATCTTCTGCTGCGTAGCGATGGGAACGGCGGTTCCTTTGAGTGACAGGAACTGCTTCAAATGAATGATACGATCAAAGAACCGGATCATTCGCTTTATCTAATATATTTTCTGGTCTTTTACAATTTAAATAAGTATTACTAAAGGGACATTAAGTCTGTTATTTATAGAACTTTAATGACTATTTCTGTTCCTTTAGTTAAATATGTGATAAAGACAAAATCAGGGAGACTTTTTAGGCTGTAAAGTAATAGAAAATGTAGAACATATATTACTAAATTGTAGGAAATATGATGAAGAAAGCATAAGATTAAAACAAAAGACAATACAAATAGGAAGGGAGTGGAATCTGGAGGGATTAACTGGAACAACCGGAGAGGGGATGAAGAAAATACATTACTAGTAAATACACAATCTTAAGAATATAGGATTATACAATAAGATTTAAAATATGTAGGTGTAGGTATATATATATATAAATAGAGAGAGAGGGATGGATATAAAAATATAGAGATTTTATATAGATATGGGTATTTAAGTAAATTAAGTAATTTCCCTCTGGGATTATTAAAGTATTTCTGATTCTGATATATGTATGTGTGCATGTAGCTATATATTCATATATATATATATTCATATTATATATTCACATATATATATATATAAATATATATATATAAGTCAAGGTTGCAATCTGCCATTAAACTAATAAAAGAAGAAGAAGAAGACTTCTTAGGCTTTCTAATTACCTACTTTAAAGTTCAGAGGGAAAAAACAAGGAAAGTTCATAAAACTCTTAATAATAATCATAAAACTCTTCATAAAGTGAAGAAAAGTATGGACAACAGCGAGCATCTTCTTCTGAAGATTTTTAAACGACAACAGCGTGTCTTGAGTCAGAGGCTTTTCCAGATCTGGTGAAAGACAGACCTCTACAGAAGATCCTTCCTGAAACATCAACACCTACAACAGAGACATAGCTGACAAGTTATACCTTTTATAAGGCAAGTGACCATTTTTGATCACTTTACCTTACAAATGGAGCCCCCCCCCATCCCTCAGTGAGGTCTAGAAGCACAAGATCTATATCCAGCCATTCAGCAAAGATCCTGCTGCATGGCTGTACAGCTTATTTTGGCATTTGAGCAATTAGATGAACCCTTGGGTGATAGATTGCCTACTGGCAATTAAGTTGAAAGAAAAGGTTAACAAGTCAACAAAAAAGGTAAAAAGCTAATTCAAATTATTGAAAGTAAAGTTAAAAAGGTAATAAGCCTAGTTAATTATATTTAGGTTTATAAACTAAAAAAATGTAATTGCCAGTATCAGCATTAATGCCTCTAAGGTTATGTTGGACCAGAAAACAAAAATTGTTTCTTTCACTCTCAGTGTTTTTCATGAATTTCTTCTAGAAGCACTTTTGTTTTTTTTCTTAATATATTCGGGCAAGTTGGCATTTCTTGTTATTACCTTGATATTCATTTTTACCATCAAAATATCCATATTTTTTAATGTTACAAAGGTAATAGGGTCTTTATCTGGATTCCAAGAACACTATTGGCTGTATTTAACTGAGTGAGCTATAAGAGGGACCCTCGAATTAACCCTTTAAAAGGGTTAATAATAAATAGTAATTATAGTACATAACTATAGAGGATATTAGGTTATTATAATATTACGGAAGAGTATTAGGGCCACTGAAATAAAAAGTTAAATGATTTTTAAATATTAGTTCAGTTTAATATGGGGAAAAAAGTCTGAATTCTGACTTTAATCTGAGAATTGTGGATCTTAACATAGATGGGCACCATGAAGGCAGAGATGTGTGGAGCACTGAGCTTCATTAGTTTGGGAGAAACAGGAACACATTGGTGGAAAATGATGGAATTAGGCGACTTTTTCCGTCCCTGAGGTTCCCTGCTGATGCTGTTTGATTAATGGAAGAGCAGAAGGTCATTAAAACAAGAGAGCCAGACTCTAAAGCAGACATGGCTACGGCTAAACATGCTAACATGTTTGTTAGCTGTCAGAATTCAGTCAGAATTCAGAGAAAAAAGTCAGAATTCTGAGATTTAACTTTTTTCTCACACTGAAATAAAATTGAAAAACCAGTTAACCGTTATATTTTTTTCAGTGGAAAAAAAAGTTAACTGATTTTTTTTATTTTATTTCAGTATAGTATGAGAAAAAAGTCAGAATTCTGACTTTAATCTCAGAATTCTGATTTTTTTTAATTGTCAGAATTCAGTCAGAATTCTGAGATTTAACTTTTTTCTCACACTGAAATAAAAAAATTGAAAAACCAGTTAACCTTTATATTTTTCCAGTGGAAAAAAAAAGTTAACTGATTTTTTTTATTTTACTTCAGTATATAATGGGAAAAAAATTTAGAATTCTGACTTTAATCTCAGAATTCGGACTTTTTTCTCAGAATTCTCACTTTTTTATTGTCAGAATTCAGTCAGAATTCTGACTTTTTCCCATACTATACTGACATAAAATAAAAAAAATTGTTGTTGTTTTTTTCTCCAATGGCCCGTATCCTCTTCCGTATCTTCCGTATGTTATTGATATAAAGTAGATTTATTTATTTGTTAGTATGTTGTCATTTTCTAAACCAATCCAGACCAGCAGGTGGCGGTAATGCACTGATTGTTTTCCATCAGCCAATAAAATTCCCTCCATAAAGAACATAAAAGCAGCCGCTCTCTCAGGTGAGACATCTTTCCCTTCATTTAAGGTCATCATTTGGAGCCTCGCGGCGGCTTCGTGTCCCACCTGAGCTCGTGTCATTCCGGATTTAAAAAAAAAAAAAATACAAGCAGACGCATCCGTCTTGTTTCATCACCTGCTCGCGCGCACGGCGGCCGATTTTTACCGCAGTGCATCCGCAGCATCCCGCGCTGCCGCTGTGGCGTCAGAGACTAAAGCCTCCGATCCGAGAGGAGAAGCCCTCCGAGCGGCTTCCTGCCTGCCTTCCTGCCCGGCCTGCCTGCCTTCCTGCCCGGCCTGCCTGCGATGCCCGCGCGGCGGAGCTTCCAGCAGCAGGGGGTCATCAGATAGGAGCGCGCGCCTTCAGCTGCCATCGGAGGGAGGGACACCGTGTCTGGGCTTCTCTTCTTCCAGAGCTGCAGGCCTTTAAGCACAGCTGCGGGTTTTTTCCTGATCGTTCCCACCAGAGCAGCCTGCGGTCTGAGTTCTGTATTTAACCCGGTAGCATCACACTGGTAGCCATCAAAGAGCTTTATCTGATCCGTTTATGCATTAGCATGTGAGTGTTGCAGAGTAATCAGTAGCTGTTGCATGTTGCACATTTAAAGATCCATCTCTTTGGCTCTAATGACCCTCTGAGACCTCAGGGACAACACAGCTCAGGGTGTGGATGTGGAGGACACTGTGAGGCTGCAGATATCAGGAGAGATCCGCTTGGAAGGAAGAGTCCTCAGGCTGGACTGCAGACCCAGAGCTGAGCCCTAAGCAGCAATAATCTTAGGTAAAGGCACAGGAACCAACAGGAAGCCAAAGATCATCAGATCCCCTGAGGGCCAGGAACCAGTTTGCACTTCACTTCACTTTGCATGTTCAGCAGCTGAAGGAGCTGCAAATCTTTCTGCCTGCACCTCATTTATAATCTACAGACAAGCTTTTTAAATCCAGTCCTACAGCAGTCAGCAGATCCAGGTTAGAAGTGCTGAGTTAGTGACAGCATGGCCCCTGTAGCCCCCCTGCTGCTCATCTCTCTGCTCTGCGGCCTGTTTGGTGAGTCCTGCTGCTCTCTGGGCATCCTTTGCTGTTTGCTTTTGTTCTCTGCATCATAAGTCCTGCATCTGTCTGTAAACAGTGGACCGCGGTGAAGGCGCCTGTGCAGAGGTGGACTCCGACACGGAGGCGGTGGCGGGCAGAGGTTTCAAACTGGGCTGCATTTCCTGCAAAAAGAGAAGCGAGGTGCAGGCATCCGCCACCGTGGAGTGGTTCTTCAGTCCGACTGGGGAATCTGACTTTAAACCGGTGAGCTCAGTTCTGACTCAGCCTATCAAGGTAATAAAGAAGAGAAAAGTTATGCAACGGGACATTTATAGATAGATCAACATTTCTCCAAAGGCTCCACTGTGTGTCAGCTGCTTCACTGCACATCTCCAGATATATGGAGAGAACTTTACTCCATTATTGTTGCAAAGAGCACGTTTTCTAAACCGTCATTATTATTTTATATTTCTATTTTTTCACTTTTTCATATTTTATATTTTCAAATTGTGTTTCACACATCATGTTCTCATCACTCCTGGTCTAATCCAAACGCGCGCTCTTGACCAATGAAAATGCTCATGCTAACGTCCACTAGATCGATCGAAAGGCGCCATTGCTTCTCACTCCAGAGGAAAGGCCGCTCTCGATCTGAACAGAGTGATCTGTATTCTGCAATTTGAAAAGCTCAGTTTAAAAAAAGACATTTATAAAAATAAACCCTGTAAAGATAAACTAGAAATAAAAGTTTGAAATGATATAATTTGAAAAAAAAAAAAACGACAAAAAAATTTGAAAAAATCTGTAAAGAAAATTTGAAAAAAATAAAACTGATATAGAATATTGAAAAAAAAATTTAATTATAGAATTTCACAAAAACAGATAGATTGAAAAAATAAAACCTGTAAAGAAAAAAATTAAATAAAACTGAAATAATATAATTTGGGAAAAAAAAGCTAGATAAAAAAAATCTGTCAAGAAAAACTGAAAAAAATGTATAATATAATAAAAAAAAAATAAATAAAAAAAAATTATTGAAAAAATAAAATGAAAGAAAACAGCAAAGTTACTCTTGAAACTTTTATTTTTGATTGAGAAGTTCTTTCTGGATTGTTTTTTTCCCCTCAAATTTACATTTCTAAAACATCTTTGTAACAAAAAATTGAAAAAAAATTCACTCCATAAACCGGCTTCATGACACATTCCTGTTCTGATCACCTTTTTATTCCAGTTACCATGGAAATCTGCTAGCAGGAGGTAAATGCTGGTTCAGGAAAGCCTTTAAAGGTGCTTGACTTCGATGCTAACAGAGGTAGCATGCGTATAGAAAAGGCCACAGTTTGAGCAGCAGGAGGCGGGAATTTAACTCTGAGATAATTTATACAGTCATTGGCTACAACCTGACAGGAGAAAAACAGAAGAAAACTGTCTGATATTTTGACATGTTTATTTTTTCATCTCCAGACCCAGAACTTACCTATGGGATATTTATATATATATATATATATATATATATATATATATATATATATATATATATATATATATATATATATATATATATATATATATATATATATATATATATCTTTTCTCCTTGTTTTTGTTTTTCCTTTCCTTGCAGTTTCTATAAATCTGTAAAACTCCCTGCATGAAAAATAATAAAGATATTTACATGCATTAATCAAGCGGAACACTATGGCGATAGCCGTTCTGCTCCACTTCTGAAAGCAAAATCTGTTGGCCTCTTTTTGTGGCATTAAGACAATTATTCTTATTACCACATTGCCAGACAGAACACAGTCCTTATTTGTGCACATTAATTATGTTTTTGATAAAAATCCTTTGGCTAAAATGCCATCAGAACGCTGATAATATTAAGTGTGTCTCAGCCCCCCCCTTCAGTGTCCACCATATTGGATCAGTCCATTTGCTGCACATGTTCAGAAAGGTCCAAACAGACAGCAGCAAACCATTTGAAAACAAACCATTCAAAGAGCAGTGTTGCCAACTTAGCGCTTTAGTCGCTATATTTAGCCACTTTTCAGACCCCTCTAGCACTTTGATTTCTAAAAAGCTCCTAGCGCCAAATCTAGAGACTTTTTTCTGCTACTGGAGACTTTGGAGACAACATCTAAAAGCAGCGAACTCTGCTCTCCAGAGCGAGTAGATTGGTAACCCCGCCTCCTGCTCTCCTCTATCTTGTCTGCTGTCATGATTCATGCAGCTATTATTTCATCCAAATGAAAAATGGAGAACAGATAAGCAGATCATGGCTTGTCTACAGTGAAAAGAAGGACTGGGTTATTTACTTTGGCCTTTTTGGAAACACAGGAAGGAGCAATCAGCTAAGTGAGCTTAGTGCTTCTCTATCTGTAGAATGGGTCTGTTCTATGTGTTGTCTTCTCCATTCAGAGGGCCCCCTGCCTGTCTTTGCCTAGGGCCCCAAATTTCCTAAATCCGCCCCTGAGTATTTTAAAAATACAGAACATTAATAGGCTTCTGTTTAAACATGGGAAAAGTGAAAAATCCTGCTAAGATTGATGGTTGGGGTTAATAAACTGAGCAGGTTTTGGAGGTATTTTGGGGAGGAAACCTGAGGTAGAAACCTGACCGTGGCTCCGGATGTTTGTCATATCTGGATCAGTTTGATGCTGATGAACCTCCATCTGTGCTGAACCCCCAGATCTACACCTACAATGAGAACGGCCCCTCTATCGAGCACGATCAGTTCATGGACCGCATCGACTGGAATGGCAGCAAGAGAAGCAACGACATCCAGGATGCTTCCATCTACCTGTTCAACGTCACCTTCAACGACTCGGGCACCTACCAGTGCTTCCTGTACCGCACCCTCATCTATACCAACAACGAGTACCAAGACGAAATCAGCAAGGTGGTGCACCTGACCGTGGTGGCCAAAGGTACGATGTACGACGCCGTCATGAAGCGTTCAGCTTCCGTCGGCGCTCTGTGACGCTCTAGATCTAGATCTCTTAAACAGGATCATGTTGGGGGCCATTTACAGAGTTTTGATGGCCCCCAGCAACGACTGAAGAATGTTGGAAACCTTGGGCCTGATGCAACAACATCTTCTTATTCTTGTCGTAAATTTCTCTTTTCTCCTACAGTGGGTTTTTAAGAATACGACGCGAAAGATTTAACAAACGATCCTCCTAAACGGGATGCAGTCCGCCTGTGCTTAAGAGAGCACGCCTTCCCGAGAAACGTAAATCTGCATAATTACCGCGCAGATACTGCCTTATAAGCAGAGATGGCAAAAGTACTCACTTTCCGTACTTGAGTAAAAGTACAGATACTTGTGTTAAAAAATACTCTGGTAAAAGTGGAAGTACTGATTCAACTTCTTTACTCAAGTAAAAGTAACAAAGTACAGGCTTGTAAATCTACTTAAAGTATAAAAGTAAAAGTAGAAACCACTTTTTTCATGCCGTTGCCTACATTTTAAATGGATGTCTGCCAATAGGACTAGATCTCCGTTGTGTTCATTTTCAATCATCTCGTCGTCCATGCTACTATGCTAACGCCACCGCCACCAAGCTGCAATGATTTGCCGCCAATGAATACCGCCGAATCTGTCGATTCATCTTGTAGTGGTGCGTCAAATGCAACGTAGATTCCCATCCAATTAGATTGAATTTGGTATTGATGACGTGAAAAATAATAACGGTAACTCCATTGAAATGATTCAAAACTAAAGTAACGAGACAATTTTTTAAAATGTAAGGAGTAGAAAGTACAGATATTTGTGTAAAAATGTAAGGAGTAGAAGTAAAAAGTCGCCATAAAAAGAAGTAGTAAAGTAAAAATATCAGAAAAATCTACTTGAGTACAGTAACGAAGTATTTGTACTTCGTTACTTACCATCTTTGCTTATAAGACTATGAATAGAAACAACGTTGGAAACCAGTCGGGAGAAGAACAAAAACATCTTTTCCTCTGAGAAAAGCCTCCAGAGCAGTGTTTTGCTCTTCTTTCAGTGAAGAAATACTCTGTAATTCCCATAAAACTTGCTCGATAGCCACGCTAACGCTAGTTTCATCGGCTGAAGCCGCCATGTTCTTTAAACTGAACTGTCGCGCTTCTCGTTGCGTCACACCTCAACCCGCCTCAAAGCCAACGCTGATTGGACGTTCGTTTGGTGAACGGCTCCAAATTTTCTTTAACGGAGAGTCTCCAGACTGATCTGCGAGTGAAACCTGATCTCACGAAGCTAGGGGAGGGTTAGCTCAAAGGTCCAAAGGCAGAATGGGTCAGGATCAGGCAATCAGAATCACTCGGGAACGCTAGAGAACTCTCACCAAAGGCTTGAATAATCTGGCCCTGATGGCCGGTCTGAAGGCTGGTTAAATAGAGGCTGAAGCAGGTGGATCAGAGGAACGTAAAGAGAACTGGGCGGAGCGAGGCAGGTGAATAAAATGAGTAATCAGGATTGTGAAAATAAAATTCTGTTTTCTTCTCGATTCAGAGGGCCCCTGCCTGTCTCTGCCTAAGGCCCCAAATTTCCTAAATCCGCCCCGACTATAAAGTCCACTATATAGTCCCCTCTCTGACGGGGCAAAGAGCCTCGAAATAAACGCAGCAGGCTCCATTTTCAGTCGGCTTCTTTAGATCCAGCTGTTTTTTCAGATTTCCTGCAAAATGTGTGATTCGGTTTCCGTTTTTCTGTCTGCAGCCAACAGAACCACAGCTTCCATCGTGTCGGAGGTCATGATGTACGTGTCCATCATCGGGCTGCAGGTCTGGCTCCTTATAGAGATGATTTACTGCTACAGAAAGATCGCTGCGGCCGGGGAGGAGGCCCTACGAGAGGCGGCGTGAGTGTTTCCATCTCCGCTCGCAAACCCGCAGAAAATTCACTTTTTTTTTTTTTACACGTAGTTTGGAGGTCATTGTTGAAGGCTCGATTTTACAGAAACTAAATATTTAGTTTGCAAACTATATGTTTAGCCAAAACTAAATATTTATTGAACAAAAAAAAAATTGCAAAATAACTATTTAACTCCAAAATAAATGTAAAAAAATAAGATTTTTAAAAATGAATGAATGACACAGTGAAAAAATTATTTGGAGAGAAAAAAAACTTGTAATTTTTCTCTTAAAATATGCTGAATAACCATAAATATTGCTCCTAATTTTTGACTGTTTAACTTTACAAGCAGCCCCCAATTACGGAGCCCCTAAAGGGACATGGAGGGGGAAAAAATAACTTTTGCGAGATCCTACAATACTTTTGCGAGAACCCAGAAATAGTTTTGCAAGATCTCGCAAAAGTATGGCGGGATCTTGCAAAAGTTTATTTTTTGCGAGATCTCGCCATACTTTTGCGAGATCCCGCAAAAGTATTGGGAGATCGGGCAAAACTTTTGCAAGATCTCGTAAAAGTTAATTTTTTGCGAGATCCCACAATACCTTTGCGAGATCCCGCAATAGTTTTGCGAGATCCCGCAATACTTTTGCGAGATCTTGCAAAACTATTGCGGGATCTCGCAAAAGTTTATTTTTTGCGAGATCTCACTATACTTTTGCGAGATCCCGCAATACTTTTTCGAGATCTTGCAATACTTTTCGAGATCGGGCAAAACTATTGCTGGATCTCGCAAAAGTATTGGGAGATCAGGCAAAACTTTTGCGATCCCACAATACTTTTGCGAGATCCCGCCATAGTTTTGCGCAATCTCGCAAAAGTATGGCGGGATCTCACAAAAAATAAACTTTTGCAAGATCCTGCCATACTTTTGCGAGATTGTGCAAAACTTTTGCGAGATCTCGCAAAAGTTTATTTTCTGCAAGATCCCGCAATACTTTTGCGAGATCCCGCCATACTTTTGCGAGATCGCGCAAAACTATGGCGGGATCTCGCAAAAAATAAACTTTTGCTTTTATTTTTTCCCTCCATGTCCCTTTAGGGGCTCCGTACCCAATACCTTTATGCTCGCCAATAATAAGTCACAAAACATCCATGTGAATCTTTTCAGCTTTAAAATGTTCTCATCTTCCCTCCGACTGAAACCCGCCTCCTCTGATCAGTGTCTAACTGTCATCTTTGTTTTTCTCATGTTTTTCTTGCAGGAATGCAGAGTATTTAGCGATCGCCTCGGAGAGTAAAGATAACTGTGCAGGAGTGCAGGTTGGAGAATAGCACAGGTGAGACCTGAACGTTCTGCTCATCAAATATCAACCAAACCCTGAAATTTTTCTGTATTTAAAGGAAAAGTCCGGTCAGCAGGAATAATCAATGGATCATTATTTATAACTAAAATCGCCGATACCGCACCGTGACGTCACTAACCAGTAGGTGGCAGTAGTGTTCTTTGACAAACATGGATGCCTCCAGTAAAGCACATTCACATGAAAATTACTCTGAATTAAAAACACTGATCATTTATTGAACAGGATGGAATCATTTCAGATTTAAAGAACTTTCAGAAGTTTGGATTCTGAATATGAGCGACTTTTCCTTTAACATCTAGAGAATAAAATAAACGGATGTGGTGCAAACTATGAGGATTTGTTTTGTGTGTTTGTTTCCTTATTTTCTGTGGCCAGTTTTAGTGTGAAATATGGCTGCAACTAATGTTTATTTTGCAAATCAATTATTCTGTCGATCATTTTTTTGATTAATCAGTTAGTAATCAGATAGTTAAAGGTTCCTTAAAGACGCAGCGCAGACTTTGTGACCTAAAGAGTTAATGCATACGAGTTATTTTAAACGATTCCTGGGCTAATATACAGCGACTGACGCTATCCATGCTACCAGCGGGGCTCCCCTCTTCAAATAGCCACTATGTAAGTTAGGAGAAGACGCACCGTCGTTGGCCAGGTCATGTGACCTGGAAGAGCCTATGGCTCTTATATCGTCATGGAGATCTACTATTTTTCCGGCCGCTCGACTACTGGTCATGGCTGAGGCAAGGAGAAAGTTTAAACCTTCTGAGGCTAAAGAGAGAAAACATGAAAGGGATCAAGGACCTGGGATCTGGAGTATAGAGGCTCTTAAACCTGCCTAAACTCTAAAAAGCAGGATTTATACCAAGATTGTAAAAAAATATGTATAAATATAAAAAAATTCATTTTTGTCAATCTGCTCTATCCAGAACTCCTCAAACTTGAGCTAGATACATTTTGTTTATTTAATAAATATTGAATTTGGAGCTAAATATTTATTTAACAAACTAAATATTAAGTTTGGAGCTAGATATTTAGTTTAAAAACTAAATATTTAATTTGCAATACGCTTAATAACCATATATGTATTGCTCAAAATTTTTGACTGCTTAACTTTACAAACGGCCCCCATATGCCTCCGGCCCCTTAGCACCGGGGGCTTTCTGAACAGCCCTGGTGTTCCGCCTGTAGCAGCTAGAAGATGCATTAACCCCCAAAATGAGTCCAGATTAAAGATTTTCATTAAAACAATCCAATCATCCATCACCGCCTGACAATGAGGGAAAAGAAAAAGGAAACTAAACTGATCATTTGTGCACACGCTGTACCGCGACTGCACGACTATCTGCCCTGCAGGCATGGATGGACTGGGAGTCCAGGGCTGCTGGTCAGCCTCATTCATTACTTATACAGGTTAATCATCTCATTATCTCGAGAAATCAATAACTGTTTTCTCGTGATAACGACATAATTATCTCGTTATCACGAGAAAACAATATATTAGGGCCAGGCTGGAGATTTTTTTTTCTTCTATTTCGAGAATAAAGTTATAACGTTACGAGAAGTTGGAAAATTATGAGAATAAAGTCCTAAAATTACGAGAATAAATTTTATGACAACTCCTCCAAGAAGCCCTTTCTTCCCTAAAATGAGGAATGTGGAGCATCATGTGAAGTTCTACTTTAGCATCGGTTTGACAAATCAGGAAATCTTTTAGCAGCAGCATCAAACTGGGCAGGATGTCAAAGTGGACTCTGGCTGCTGATTGGTGGAGCTGGTCGGACGTCATCTGCTGGGCGGAGCTCCAAGCTTTCTTTCTGAAACAGGTTGCTGTATGATGACTTTATTCTCGTAATATTACGACATATTCTCAAAATAACAAAAAATCTCTAACCTGGCCCCAATAGTAATGGTTAAACCGTGATAATGATTTAGTGTCATTATCTCGAGAAGGCAAAGGAAAAATAAAAAATGGAGAGCGATCGCTCTCTGCCTCCGTATTAAATCAAATAGAAGAACTTAAACATGAATTCAGCATTTATCTGCAGTTTGAAACACATTCGGTTTGAACAGATGCAGGTCTTCTGTGCTTATTCCATGGCTCTGTAATGCCCTTCAATGAAAATAAATGAGCATTTTACCAAATCTTGTTTTCTAATATAATAAACATCCAGCTGTAGTTCTGGTTCTGATGTCCCGTCTCTGTCCTCAGGCTTCCTCCCTGGACTGACATCTTCGCTTCCAGAGCTGAACTGCATGTCAACATCTCGTGTCCATCTCCAGCACCTGGACCCGACCTACACAGACAGCATAGAACCAGCACTGTACATAGCCTTGTGCTTGTTGAAGCATGTCGTGCACTCGTTATAGAAGCCATTATGCATTATCGTATACAGGTCCGTGTGTTATTCCCAGTCACAGAGCTTTTTGCTGACCCGTCAGCTGGGGGATGAATGAGACCCACCTCAGGCACGTTCCATACGGATCCTCACCGATTTATAAACTGTCCTTCCACTCTAACTCGTGGTTCTACACTCGGATGTAATTAAACGTGGTATTTAGAACCTCATTCTGGGTCCTGTGTCCTTTCGGTTTTATCCATAATTCACCTGCATATATAACATTTATATTCATTCTACTAAGTCCTGCTTTTTGGTTTTTATTTTTCTCATTTTGAATTTTAAAGGTTTTTGGCTTAATTTCGATTTACAATTTAAGGCAACACTAACTTTTAGCCACTAGGGGGAGACAGACGTTTTACAGTTTGGCTCCTCCTGAAGGCCACAGGCAGAAAATTCACCCCATTTTCTCTCCATTAATATGTAGTGAATAAATTATTAGTGCAAAAGACATGTTTACTAAAGATATAATTAAAAAAGATTCAAATAGATTAAATCCAGAAAGGATATTAATGTTAGCGTAACTTTATTTTGTCCTAATTTTTATTAAAACATTTTTCAGATGAATTTTTATGTCTTTCAATTGCAATTTCCAGATTACATTCTCTCTAAACACTAGCTTTTGACCAATAAAAAATTTATAAATGTCCAGCAGACCAATAGAAATTAAGTCTTTGCTCCTGTCTCTAATCCAGAGGTCACAGATTAGCGGACTGCGGTCCGGATCCGGACCCACCTGCTGGCTAATCCAGACCCAACCTGATTTAAAACATTTATACCGCATGTTGCTCCAACAATTCTCTAACTTCACTTGCTCCTTTTCTCCCGTTAATACGGTAAAGCCCTGGGGAGCGTCCGGCTCCAGGCTGCACGTGATCCAAATGAGCCAATGAGCTGTCAGTCTGGGTTGCTGCTGCTGCTACTTTTAGACACAGCAGGCAAACCTGTGGCAAGCCGGGCGATGGGAAAGAAGGAGAAGACCATGAGAAAAAGAGAGCAGAGAAAGTGTGGACTGCTGGAAGAACTGCGGTGAACTGGTGAAAGAAAAGTGAAATGGCGTGCTCAAAGATGACCCTGCACATTTAGAGGATGTTTGGCTCAACCTGCTGCTGTGAAGCAGGATTCTCCACCATGAACAGAATCAACAATAAATCTGGATCCAGGCTCAAAATGAGCACCTTGATATGAGCTTGAGAATGGCTTAGTCTCCGGTTAAACCCAGGTTTAAAAGAAAGAAAAAAGAAAGAAAATAATCAGTTCAGATGTTTTATAAATAAAACTGAAGGAAATCATCTATATACCAAACTGAAAGATTGTTGTTCTCTTTTTTTAAACATATTTTTTATTTAAAACTTCTATGTATCACATGGAAGCATAAAAACCTCATGTTATTTCAGTGTTAAATTCTGTTTAGGGTAACATAATTAAAAATGTCTCCAGACCTTCACTACTTATTGATTTTCTTTATTCGATTTTTAATTGGTCACCCCTCCTCTAGAGGAGAATTATTTCTACAAAGCTTCATTCCACAACAACCAGGAAGTATTTAGAGAAGCTTTATTTTCCTCAGGTACAAGAAGGGACCCAGAAAGGGAGTGAGAAATCGACCAAACCAAAAAGAAACTGAAGAACCGGAGCCCAGCGGATCTAGACTCAGGAGTCTGTTAGAAACCAAGCGGATGCTGCATGTTGCTCTCAGAGCTGCAGCACGCAGTCTGTGCCGGGGTACGCAGGCAGGCTGAGCTGGTACTTCTTCTCCAAGGCCGCCGGGACGAAGCGTCCTCCCAGGAAGTGGTAGCGTCCTCGGAACAAGGAGGCGGATTTCTTGGGCGCCGTCAGAGAGATGAGAGTGTCGGGCTGGAGGCCGTCTGCGCTGCCTTGCTCCACATCCCAGCCTTCAAAGGAAGAAGAACGGGGATCAGGACATGGAGCGTAAAGGTCAAAGGTCATCATCACTTAGGTCGGGTCTGAAGAGTCCTGATGTGAGCAGATCATTAATATTCTACTTTTTAACCACTAGGGGCACCAGAGCTGTACCTTTCAGGCTGATAACAGCTCTCCGGTGTCTCTGAATCAGCGGTTTTCAAACTTTGAGGAAAAAAATAAAGTGTTCATGCAGCTTATGTCAACATAAAGCTTAATCATTTAATAATCGGATTGTTAACGATTCTTTAAAGCAGAAAGGATTTAAACGTATTTATTTTCTCAGGAAATACATTAATAACCTTTGACACATTGTAGTTTAGTACACTTACTATTTTTAGGGAAGGAAAAACTTTATTTAGTTTTTTTTTTTTACAAAGTAAAATTCGAAGCGACCTGCATGTATATCTGGTGGAACAAACGAGCTGATGGTTCGGATCCGGTAAAGACAAGCTTGACCCTCCTACTTCCTGGAAGGAAATTAGGTGTTTTTTTTTTATTTTTTATGAGGCTTTTCCCCTCGATTCTAAAATTTGGTCTGGGTCGGGGGTTTTATCTACATGTAGAAGAAGGAAAAATGGCTGTTTCAAATATATGTAAAACTCTGGATTGAATCCTTCATCAGAGAACCAGAAATGTGATCATTAACGCTCGGGGCTAACAATCGTTAGCTTAGTTAGCTCTGGTGTTTAATGGGCGCTCCGACTGACGGAAAGCGGCGCTTTAAGGAGAGCCTAAAAATGTAAAATATCTCAAATGAAGCTAATGCTGGGGTCAAATGATACTTGGTGCTGCTTAAAGTTTAATAATTCTAGTGGTTCCTAGAATTTCTAAAGTAGAATGGGAGGCAGATCTTTTAGTTATCAGGCTCCTCTCCTGTGGAACCAACTACCAGTTTTAGTCCGTGAGGCAGACACCCTGTCTACTTTTAAGGCTAGGCTTAAAACTTTCCTTTTTGATAAAGCTTCTAGTTAGAGTGGCTCAGGTTATCCTGAGCTATCTCTATAGTTCTGCTGCTATAGGCTTAGACTGCTGGAGGACATAGGGACCCCTTTTTCATCATTCTGCTTCATTCTATCTCTATTCTCCCACTCTGCAGAATCTGTTAGTTCAATCTCTACGTTCTGCTCTCTCTGCTTTTTCTCATAGTAGCTTCATCTGGTCTGTTCCTGTTTGGCTGTGACTCCATCCTGGAGAGAAATATCAGCTGTGCTGCTGCCATCAACACCCTTGTTTCTAGATGTTGGAGCTTGGCCTGTTTTCCAGTGTAGTCCTGTTTCTCTGACTGTGACTAACTGGATGTGCTCTCTTCATCCTCTGACATGGGAGCTGGCTCGGAGCTCGTCTGCCTGGCTGTGTGTTTCCTGGACGGGGCCGCCTGTGGAGCTGGTTGACAGTTGCCTTTTGTATCTATGCTTCTTTTTCTATGTCTGCTTCTGTCTCCTTGAACCCCAGTGGGCCTCAGCAGATGGCCGCTCACACTGAGCCTGGTTCTGCTGGAGGTTTCTTCCTGTTCAAAGGGAGTTTTTCCTCTCCACTGTCGCTACAAGCATGCTTAGTGTGAGGGATTGCTGAAGAGTCAATGAGTCGATGCAATCAGCTGGTTTTCCTTAGATAGAAAACTTTGAATCAATCTGACTGGATGATCTGGTGAACTGGAAAGTGGCCTGAGATGACATGATGTGAATTGGAGCTATAGAAATAAACTGAATAGAATTGAGTTAAACATTCAAACATGTTAAAAAACAAACTGAACTAGAAAAAGCTGTTTCGGAGAAACATCAAAGTGGGAATGCTTTTGCTGAATGAAAAAAGCTGAAATTACCTGAAGAACATATGAAAATGTGATAGGAAGTCATCAGAAACTTCAAACTGCAGAAAACAATTGAATCATCTGAAGATTTTGTAGGGTAGAATCATTTGGCAGTAAAATGGCAGAAACAAACTCATCTTAAAAGCTGCACAGCCCAACCATACATGATATCAAAAAATGTCTTCAATGTGGGCGCTAGAAGGGTCTTAATATAATGTCTCCCAAGTTTCTAGAAAAATGTATAAAGAAATTTTGAAGGGGGGCCACCTACTGCCCAGAAACATGTCAGGCATGTCATGAATTAGCAGCAAACAGAAAAGCTTAATTCCTGTCCAGAAACAGAGCAGAATGAAGCCAAAGTTCACAACATAGGCTGAAAAGTATGAAATTAGCTGAATCAGAATAGAAATTACAAAGAAAAACTTGAATCTTATCTGGTTGAAGAAAAAATAGTAGCTTAAGGATGGGAAGTAAAATGTTGAGGAAGATGGTATTGAATAAGTATCAAAATTTTGAAATCATATGTGGAAATGTCAAGACTTGGCAAAACAATTTGAAATGATTTAAAATGTGTTGGTTGATCAGCATAAAGAAAACAGTGTCATCCTTAGAGGATTGAAAATCTACAAACCTATGTGCAAGACTGACCATGAGAAGCAGAGGAAGGACAGAGAGAGAAGCTTATAGAAAGAGAGCTAATACCACTTAAGGAGCTGAATTTATCAAAAAATTTTATCTGCATGTTACGAGCCGCTGTGTTGATGACAGCACCGTTGGCAGGCTTATTTAAAGCCGTTTGGTCCAAGTTGCCTTAAACTGACAGCCGACCGACAGCCAAACAGGAAGTGGTGGTTTTCTCCTGACCTGATGGGATGTCGATGCTGGCGATGGGGGCCGTGGTCTTCTTCAGAACATCCAGGATGGAACCGAAAGGTTCTCGCACGGCTCCCTTAAAGCTGAAGCCGAAGATGGCGTCGACCACCAGGTTGTACGCTTCATCGATGACCTCAGCCTGAGGAAACAGAGGAAACAGGATCCGGTTCTTTCAGGTCTAAAGCTACGGTTAGCATCAGCGAATAAATGATGACGGGTCGGATCCCACCTCTGGCATTTCGGTCAGGAAGGGGATCTCCATCTTCTCACACTGCGTGGTCAGACCCTGGAACAGCGGTTTGTTTGGCCTCTTAGGGTACAGGATGGTGGGCTCATAACCCTGCAGCACAAACATTTCATTCTCTTCAGCACCTTTAACCCGACACACACGCCTCACCACAGCCGGTGAGAAGTTAAATTCACTCACAAACAGCTTGAGGTGTCGAGCGCAGACCAGACCGTCGCCGCCGTTGTTTCCTGGTCCACAGATGACCAGCAGAGAAGGTTTGGCTTTGACCAGAGAAGAGAGCGGGTACGCCTGCAGGGAAGCAAAAAACAAAC